ACACTCGGGGTAAACTCGTCCCCGCTGGCACCGTCCATTATGATCTCCAAAGGGAGACCTCTCTTCACCACAGAGAAAAACGGCTGCAGATGAATCGTGCGCAGTGCTAGCGCAAACATTCGGCAACATCAGCGTTTGCAAAATCAAGCCAAGCATGCCAACATGCCACTGTTTCCTAGGTTCACGCAGCTGTTTCCTAGACTCACACAGTCGCTTCCTAGGCTCACGCAGTTGCTTCCTAGTCTCACACAGTCGCTTCCTAGGCTCACGCAGTTGCTTCTCAAGCTCAGGCAGCTGCTTTCGCAATCCTTTTCCTACCCTCTTGTGGCTGAAGGGTCTGTCTTCTTCACTTGCCATCGAGCAAGACCCAACCAGCTGCAATGCTACCATCAGCATCGCTCTCAGAATACTGCGAATCTGGAACCTCGTCGTGGGCACGTAGCCATTGCAGCCCCGACCAGTGCTGTAGACAGGCCCAGCAATAATGATGGGTGTGCGCAGGTTTGCGTCTAACGCACCCCTGCTTTCCGCACACTTCGCACCGGCACTCGCATTCCGGCTTTGATCCGCCCAGATAGTTTCCCATAGCAGGAAAAAGAGGCGTATTCTGAGTCTTTCTGCAAAAGCCGTAAGGGTAAAAGTCCGCTCGAGCACAGCAGCAAAAACCCACTGCGCTTGCACAACCATGTCTCTCATGAAAACATGCCATCGCAAAACCATGGAAAAACATGCCAAAAACATGCAAAGCACCATGCCAACATGCGACTGTTTCCTAAAATCAAGAGCCATGCCAACATGCGACCGTTTCCTAAAATCAAGCGACATGCCAGCATGCACCTGTTTCCTAAAATCAATCGCCGCGCCCTGCCTAACGTCACTAGACTCTTCTAGAAGATCACAAAGCTCAATCTCCCGTGGTGCAGGCGCTCTTGGAGCAACTTCCGCCCTAAGACCCCGAAGCAGAAACCCAAAAGGAGTGGCAGCCAAAGCGTGGCGGCCAGACTCGTCTTCTTCCGAAGTCTTTCTTCCTTTCTTCAGGATTCCTTCTCCAGGCTTCTGGGGTCCTGCGGTGGACTCCTTGCTCGATCCTAGCAGGTCGCGGTCCTTCAAGGCATCTATCTCCATGTCCTCGATCCCTTTCGGGGGGCGTCTGGAAGAATTCTCTTTCCCCCGGCCCTTGGACCTCCCGCTCAGAGCCCACCAGGCACGCGAAGCGCCCATCAGCTTGATGCTCTTCTTTCCGTTTCCTTTGTACAATCGTGATCCCGATTTGGCTAGATAGGTTTTCCAGCCCCGTTCCGACCCGGTCCAAGGCGAAACAACGTTGAACCCAACATCCGCCACCAGGACCTCTTCCAACCTCAGGAAAACATCACCAAAATGAACCTCAAGGTCGACAACCCCCGACACAACGATCGCACCACCCGAGGCATTGAACAGATTGGCCGTTCGGTCGTACTTCTTGACAACACGAAATCCTGAGAGATGTTTGTCCGAAACAATGTGGCAGGTGGCTCCACTATCCACTAGCCACAGGTCCCCAGGAGTAGTCTCGAGGGCCTTGCAGACATGAGCTACGTCGCCGTACTTCAACATACGGGATCCTAAGGAGCCCATAGACTCAGAACCTCGACTCTCAGACCCAGGCGACCCTTCGGGTCCTGAACCCGGCTTCGGAACTACAAGGGCGGACGACTCAGGCTTCTCAGGCTGTCTCAGAACACGGCGTTCCGAAGAAGAGGGCTCCGAAGAACCACGCCCAGGACAGGAAAACCTCATCGCCATCACTGTGGCGCTTCCTCCCGACTCGGCCTCGGACTCCGGCTCTGTCAAGGAGCGTCCCTTTCCAGGCTGTCCCTTCTTCTTCTTCTTCTGCTTCTTGCCTTTGTCCTTTCCTTTGTCGCCCTTTCCTTTGTCGCCCTTGCCCTTCTCGGAACCACGAGGCGTGCCAGATCCCTTGGGAGTCTGGTCGCCTTTGCCTTTCGGCTTTCCTTTGTCTCCTTTCCCTTTGCCCTTCGGAGCACCACCGCGTTCACGTTCTTCCTTTTGGCGCTGCCAACACTTGTCGGCTGTGTGTCCCTTCTTCCCGCAGTAGTCGCAAAGCTTCTCCTGCAAGGCTCGGCCCGAAGACCCAGGGGCCTCACACAGTCGCAGCTGCTCCTCGTAGTAAGTCAGCGTCCTTCGAAGAGCTTCCCAGTTCGAGCTGGACCCGTGCAGTACCACGTACTGACGCACTTCTGCACCCAAGCTCTGTAACAGGACAGAGCAGCGGTCAGCCTCAGACAGCAGAAGCTCCGGAAAGTTGCTCAGCTTCGCCTCAGACTTCGAAAACGAATCCTCAAGATGTCGAATCAAGTCGGTGGGCCTCTTCAGATGCCCAACGTGCTGGTACAACTTCAAAGCCTGTTCTCTCACGAAGACAGCTTCCATCCGCGACACGATGGAGTACTGAGAGGTAATTGTTCGAATCACCTCGTAGCCGCAGGCGCTCTGCCCCTGCCTCTTCGAGCAGGACCTCAAGAGCTCGCTTCCCCGCTCCCACTTGGCGAGGGACTGCGTCAAGTAGTAGAACAGCTTGGAGCTACGTGCGGCAGTCTCGGGATTCAAGTCAGCTTGCACAATCTCCTTCTTCACAGGGATACAAAGCTGCAGTTCCCGAACAAACGCTTCTTCCTGCAGGGCAAGCCAGGAACTCAGCGTCTCCATAAAGGAGTGCCAAGTCTCTACCTCCTTCATGCGCCCTTTCCCCATGCCTTGATGGTCTATCACCGGAAGGTTCGGCAGATACTTCTCTGCACGGCCTCCAGCACCAGAGTACCCGGAGGGAGACGGAACTGCCGGAGCTGCCGAACTAGCGGCAGAACTGCTCGCGGGAGCAGTGCTCGGCTGGAAGGGGTCCCGAGTCTTAGCTGCCTCTGCTGCCTGCTTGGCCGCTTCAGCTGCCTCAAGAACTTTCTCTTCCGCTTTGTTCCTTCTCTCTTCCTCCAGATCCATTCTCCGGAGCATCGTCGCAACGAGCTGCTGGTTCATTGCCATCATCTCTCTCTGCTGACGAAGCAATTCCATCATGAAGCCAGGCGTAAAACCTGCAGAGCCAGAGCTGCCACTCGGAGCAGCAGCCTTCGGACTCTGAACAGGTGGAGCCGACGCCTTAGGACTTTGCACAGGAGGCACAGTAGCACCAGTAGGCGAACCCGCCGCTGGTTCTGAAGGCTGTGCTTGCGTAGGAGCAGGAGCCGGACCTTGGACAGGAGCAAACGGATTCGCTCCCTGCTGAGCAGCCGCTTCATGCGCTGCCGCAGCTGGTCCTGGACCAAAAAGCTCGAACTCTTCTTCTGCAGTGGTCTCCGGCACAGGAACGTCTGCCATGGCTTTACTAGGAACGCACTCAGCGCTCCGCTACCATGTGAAAAACGCAGAGCAAGTCTCTTTTCGCTCCACGCTTGAGCCAAACACCGAAGTGTTCAGCAAGGTCTCTTGCGGAGTCTCGCGCAGCAAATTCCGTCTCAACTTTGCTAAACAAAGGAGGAATGACATGCAACTGTCCTAACACTTGTCAGGACTTCTGTACTCACTCAAACAGCAGTGCACAGCCACTCTGTCCCTTGGCCTGTTCCTACCGGCACGAGCGAAGCGAGGGTCGGCGGAAAACAGCAA